GGGTGAGGCGGGGTCTGGCGGGGTGTAGCGGGGCGGTGACCCCTACGCCCAACCTGGAGGGTGTGTTGCAGGGTCGCGACGTCGTTTATACTTGTGGCTTCTGGAGGGACCCCGCTATTATCTAGTGCTGGAAACACCTAGTCGAGAATAAAATGCTGAGGAGTCTCCTCGGTAGAATGTGTTTCCCTCTCACTCCAGGTGCGCGAGACATGGATAGATGGGATAGAGATCGAACAGTGGCCTTGACCACCGCCCCCACTCACGACGGCCCGCATGCAGTCTGCCTCCGGCAGCAGGTCCATTGCTTGCCCACTGTGAGTCAGGCAAGGGAAGTCTCAAGGGGGTCGGCGTTTACTGCCTTGATGGGATGGCAAGATCATAGAACCGAATTTACTGCCCGCCAGAGTTACTGGCGCGCCTAGGCCGCGACCTTTCCCAACCGAGGCGGAAGGCGCGAACGGGGCGCGAGGCCTCCGCCGCCAAACGTCTTCCTGGAGCTGGAGCTGGAGCACCCCTACTGGTGGGTGGCGCGGCGTGGCGCGCGATGCGGCAGGTCCCACAAGTAGGGCGGTCGCACATCCAACGGTGGCCACCCGCGAGGCGAGGTCGTATGGAAATGCTCGAGAGAGCGCGTAAACTGCGAGGTCCAGGAGGTTGCCCTCGTCTCAAGTTGCCCCTTTTGTGTCCGCAGGTGCTGTGCGTGCTGCGCGTGCCGCGCAGGTGCGCCGCGGCCGGGTAAGATGCGCCGCGGCCCCCGGGGCCTCTGGCTGGCGGCCGCGTCGCTGCTGGGCGCCGTGCTGCTGTGCTCCGCGGCCCGGGCCGCCGCCGCCTCCTCGCTGCACACGGGCGCGGCCATCAACGTCTTCAGCCGGTATGGCTACTTCGCCATCTCCATGCGGGTGGTGCCCAGGAACGAGACGGACCGCTGGATCTTCCGCGAGCCCAGCGTCAACGTCTTCAAGAACATCACGGCCCTGCCGCCCAGGTTGCCGAGGTGAGACTGCCACTTGGTGTCACCTGAACTGATACGCGACGCATGACGTGTCCCATGAATAACATGCCTCCTTCCCTCTGCAGCGCGGCCGCTAGGCACAACGGCAGGGTGCCGGTGTTCGAGGGCGACTTCCACATGGAGTTCTGCGACAATCTCCGACAGCTGCTGCAGGCCTACTTCCGCGACTTTCAGGTAGAGCGACTGGAGCGGCCCTGGTCCGCGTTCACCGCGTCCTGGTCGCGCAACGCCATGGCCAAGCACCTCGGCCTCAACGCCACGTACGTCGCCGGCTCGCACTGCTACGTCCTGGTGAGTCGAAGAGCTGCGGCCTGAGGGGGATCTGACCCGACAGACTACTCTTCTCCTTCTGATCTTTACACCCGGCCCTACTCTTTGTTACCAGGTGCGCGTCGCTCGTCACAGGGAGAGCGGTCGCATGGCCCCCGCCCAGCCCGGGGTGCCCGTCGAGGACTTCGTAGCCAAGGACAGGGACCTAGTGGTCCCGGGAGACACGGAGTCGGTCGTGGAGTGGGTCAAGAGCTTCGGCAGTCACTACGTAACGTCGTACGTCACGGGGAACTCGCTGTACCAGGTACGTGTCGGCACCGCGCCCGTGTCTTTTACCTCTGTTGGCGCCTGGCGCTCTCCGCCGTGCTCACCGAGACTCTGCCGCAGGTGTTCGTGTACACGCCGCACATCTATCGGCGCATCAAGGAGCGCCTCAAGACCCAGGGCGTGGCCGCGCTGTCGGCCGTCGAGCTGGCCAGCTACTTCAGCCCCTGGTACGCGGAGCACATGGGGCGCATCCAGTCCGCGTCGGGCAACTACACGGTAGAGGCGTGGGCGGCGAGCCAGCTGCTCGTCAAATTCTACTTCTTCACCTACCCGAGCCTCATCAAGCTGCACGGAGACGTCGGCCTGCTCAAGACACTGGACGGCCTGCTGCAGAACGAGGCCGTGCTGCAGCTGGACCTGCGCACCCTGGCGCCCGTCTTCCAGAGTCCAGAGAGGCGGCACTGGTTCAACGAGGTCGTAGACAACCAGCTCAAGCTGTGGGAGGTCAACATGTCGTGAAGCGCCATGTCACCATCCCCGACTCCCTCCCCTCCTTACCTCTCCAGTCGTGGCGCCGCGCGGCGCCGCGCGGCGCCGTGCGGCACCACCACCACCAAGTCGTGACCAGGGTCCGGCGGGGCAAGGAAGCACGAACTGAAGTGGGGCAGCAGCAGCGGCTGGTGAAAGAAAGAATGAAGCATGTGTTTGTTGTCGGCAGTCATATATACACTTGCATTAGTTTGGCCCAAACTCTGGGCTATCTGGCAGCTCTCCTTCCCGACCCTGCGTCCAAAGCAGTCCTGGACAAGTCCAGGACAACCAGCTCAAGATGTGTGAGGCCAGGGCGGCTCACCCGCCTCACCTCGCCTCTCCTCTCGACCTTTCTTCTCTAGTCTGCAATAAACAACCCTGGGTGCTACGCCATGCGGTGTGAGGGTGACCTTCCACCTTTTTTGAGGAATCTTGAACAGGGTCCTCAAGCCAGTCCTCAACTGTACATAAACGTGTTTTTTTTCACTCACAAAAAAAGTGGTTATTTTTAACCATTTTACTTTTGCCTTATATTAGTATTGATTGATTGTTGTAACTCCAGTGATGATTTTAGTTTACTTTAGAATTACAATTTTCTAGATAGTACTTTTCAGCATTCTATATTTTTCAATGCTGCTTTTTATTGCACACAAATAAAGTCGGTTTTAGTTCATTAGGGCTGTGCATAGCAATAGCTACACTATGGAATATTAAATTACTTACATGCAACAGAAATGTTTGCTATAATGACATAAAATTTTCATGTAAGAAAAATAAAATCTGAATAAGGTGGACCTACAATAAAAAAAAATAAAAAAAATCAGAACATGGTGTAAAATGGCATTGAAATAGAATGGAAATTATAAAGTCTTACCTCAACAATTTCCGTTACATGTTCAGAGAAATATTCCACTTTCTCATTTTTCCAGTGACAGCCAATGGCAAACTGCATTATTTCAGTAGGTAGAAGACCTACTACCTAAATTTTAACTGAGATATAGCTTGTGTTGGCTTGTATGATAGTTATGTAAATATTGTACATACCCTTAAATGTTTTAGTTGATTTCTCATAGTCCACTGTTAATGTTATTTGTTAAGTACCCTGTGATAGTTCTTCCAAATGTCTTCTGAGTTTGTGTGTGTATCAAGCACTGGGCCCCAACTGAACTGAAGCCCTACAATACAATCAAGACACACAAAGTGACTTTGCTTTCACCAAGGTATAGAGAAGGTCTGTTCAGAATTTTTTTTAAAGTGGATCTCACGGTCAGCCCTTTAAAAAAGAAAAATCGCAAATGTTAGTTCCATTTACATAGTTGATTAAACCTGTGCATTTGGCTAAGAAAAGGCATTCATTGGTTTTAGATTTCATTGTTTATTTAAACTTGACACTCTTTCAGAATAACAACTAGGAAGAATGTGACTACAATATATGTAATAGTATGCATTTAGTAGAATAGGTTACAGGGTAAATTTGAGTCGGTTTGAGTCCTCCAAACTACTTTCAAATCTATTGTATTGAACATTTTGGAATTCCATATTTCTAAGCTGACCAGGATGAAAGAAAACTCGTTAGGGCACATTATGATAGATTACAAAGATT